TGTTGTCAAAACCTTTTGTTACCTCCTTTTCTTCTGTACCTTCTTCCTCCACACACACAACCTTTTTTACGAATGCGGCTCGATTACTTTGATCGAACGTTTCCCCCTCCCCAAGTGAAAAAAATTTATTAGAAAATATTATGGGGGGTAGGGAAGGGGAGGGAGTACTGGAATAATTATTTAATGGGTTATTAATACGCCACCGATCGGGTAGTAGTTATATATAATAAATAATATTTATGAATTGACCGTCGTTATAAATCATCCCCTTTTTCGTTTATTGAATTTTTTTTGATGGATTTAAAGGGTTGAGCGGTAAGGGTTGTGAGGTAAATTTATTGAAAAAATTTGTAAAGAAAAAAAAGGTTGAGAATTGGTGGTGGTGGTGGTGAGGAACAAAGAGTGAATGACAGAAATAGGGTAGATACGAAAAGAATGAAAGAAGCAAGTAGACTGAGAAAGAAATAGAAACGAAAAAAAAAAAAGAGAGAGAGAGGGAGACACACACACACGCAGGCATACACCCACACATAAACCCACAAAGGCAGAAAAAAAGACAGATAGAGTCAGAGAGTGAGAGAGAGAGAGAGAGAGAGAGAGAGAGAAACAAAGGTAGAAAAACAGAGCGAGAGAGAGAAAGACAGAGAGGTATAGGTTTACACACACACACCCACAAAGACAGAGTGAGTAAGAGAGAGAGAGAGAGAGAGGGAAGAGAAGATAACGGTCAAAGTGCAGAGTTCAAAAGCAGAAGAAATCTCTTAACGCATACATAAATTTATTTATAAATTTTCTTATGTACATATATATAACATTATCTGTTTACATTGTCGACAAATTTACAACGTTCTCCCCTACCCTCCCCACGCTCCCCTTCTCCCTCTCCCTTTTCACACTACAACGTTATCACAATCGATCACCGACGTTATCGTTCGTGACGTAATAGTTAACATGGCAATCGAATTAAATCCGACGATCACGAATTTTTTTTTTCTCGAGTTGATAATTTCAAAGTTAAAAAAATGGCGGAGGATTATAAAAAAATTTTCGACCCGATGATGATGATGATGATGATGAAGGAAAACGTTCGTTCGTTTCTCGAGGGGTGTAAGGAAGGGGAGAGTTCCCCCAGGAATTTGATCGATTAAATATCCCCCCAGTCCCCCATTTTAATCATTCGGTGAATTCCAAACCTGGAAAAATAATCAAAAGTTTTCTTGAGCAGAAGACGTATACGCACCGCGTTAACATTTTTTTTTTTCTCGAATTCTTTCTTTGGCCTTTTTAAATAAAGATAGTCATCGTTCGTGGAATGACTAATGAAATGTGCGCGTTCAGGTAACATTTAAAATTTAAATTTCTTTTTTTTGGCGCGAATCGATCCATTTAAAAAAAAAAAATTATGTAACGATGACTACTACGAGATCAATGTGCGTGCATGCGTGCGTGTGCGGGTGTGCGTGCGTGACACGTCGCGAAGAATCCGGTAAAAGTAGTAATAATAATAATAATAAAAATTTACCGGTAACCAGAAGCAAATTAACAATAATCTAGCAAAAAAAAAATATAAAAAAAACTAATAAAATGTCACGTGGGCGTGCGGATTCAAGGTGAAATTTTTTTTTTTTGATGTGAACGTGGCGTGCGTGTCACGGCTTTCGGTCGTTTCTTCTTCTTCTTATTTCTTTTTACGTCCGTCGAAGAATTTGACGAATAAAACCATTAAAAAAAAAAAAAAAAAACGTTAAGAGAAATCATTTTTTAAAATCAATCCATATAAAGAAAAACTATTCCGACGAGTTTTATACACTCGATGAATTTATTTATTTATTTATTCTATGGATGTAAGTGTAAATAGAAATTTTAAACGGGGTCCGATTTTTTAATTAAAAACCTTTTCGTTTCTTATCAGTTTGAAAAGTTTGTTTTAATGGTAACAGGTAACCGTTTTGTTTTTAAAATTTTTCTTGTCCAATTAGAAAATTTAACGTCTTCTGCTTTTTACCTCCTCCGGTTTCTTCTTCTTCTTCTTCGTCGTGAATGAAACCACACACAAACGCATACAACAAACGTGAAATTTCTTTTCTTTTGTCGGCTTTGTTGTTTGTTTTTTAATAGTTATTAATTAGTGTGTACCTGTTTTGTATTCCATATACGTTCGAAACATGTTCGAAAATAATTTTTTAATGATCGCGAATGTGTATGTTGTTTTCTTCTGAACGTACCTTTTGTACCTTTCATACATAAAGGTTTTTTTTCACGATGACGAAGCTGTGTAATGACGTTTTAAAAAGTCTTTTTTTTTCAACGTCATCGACCTCTCGACGTTAATAATAAAAAAAAAAAATTTATGTTCCATTGAAAAAAAAAAAATTATTGGATTTTAATCGAAAACTAAAGGGGGGGATATATTTTATTATTATTATTATCGATAATCCGGTCGTTCACTCGCATAAAGTTTAAGTTTATGTACCTAATCGTTCGAGGTATGAACACGACGACAACAACAACAACAACAACGTGTATGTTATTAAATAGGGATGTTCAATTGAGCGTAAACTAATTAACGTGGCGGAAAGGAAGAAAAAAAAATGTTGGAACGTGGTTCTAGAACGTGTCAGCAAATAAGAGAGACGATGGTGACACGAACGAGAAGAAATTTTTCTTTTGGTTGACGCGATTCAGATCCGAGAGAGAGAGAGAGATCGTAAGGGATGCTGTGAGATTTCGACGAGCCGAGAAGAATTCAAGGTCACGTATCACGTGTAAATAGAATAATAATAATAATAATAATGTTTGAGGGGGTGGATGTTTTATTAGGCCGAACGATGACGAACGTCTGTTGATGATGAAATAATCAATTGATGGGATTTAGAGGGTGATTGATTGATTGATTGATCGATCGATTGAATTTATCCGTAAGGGATTTTCTATTTGATTAAATGACGTTTATAAATACAAGGGTGGATTTTTAATTTATTTTGGGGGTTTTATGGGGGGGGGGGTGGTCGTCGAGTTACTTTTTCGAAAAGTTTGTGTGTGTGCGCGTTCTTAGAAGAATCGCGTAGAAAAGAATGTAATTGTTTATTCACGGTGAAAGAAAAAAAAAAAAGGTAATTAAAGAATTTTTGTACGACGTGGGAAGAGAAAAAAAAAAAAAAAAAAAACGAAAGAGGCAACGAACTTGAATGCATTGGAAAAGCGTTCGTGGAAGAAGTGAAATTCACGTGGCAGGAAGGAGCGAACGTCGCGAACGGAAAAGAATTTTTTTTTGGTAAATTTTCGACTGAGTTAGGGTCATTAACTTTTTTGTTTTTTCTTCTGGTTTCTAAGGACATCGAGGTAGTAGTAGTAGTTGATGGGATGCGATGTGATGTGTACGTGTGGGTGTGTACCAGACTGGCGTGTATCTGTCTACTCTCTCAACCTCTTCAAGAACCTGTACGATGATGATGATGATGATGATGTTATCGCTCTCACCTTTTTTTTAATTTTTTGTCGTCGCCCCACGCGTCGTCGTGACTTCAAAATATTTAAATTTAAATTATTGATAAGATTTCCCGCGTAAATTTTGACGAGGCAACGTTCGCAACGGTTCAAAAAAAATTTTCTTTTTTTTCCGGCTGTTTTATTCTCATCAATCAGTGTTTCCTTTCTCTCTCTCTCTCTCTCTCTTTCTTTTAGAGTAATTAATACGTCATTAGCACTAGAGTTAATTACGTCATTAACCTCAGAAATGTTTTTTTTTAATTTCGTGATTTTGGAAGTTTTTTCTATAGATGATTGTTGTTGTGGTTGTTGTTGTTGTTGTTGGGCATCTATTTTGTAGTGAAAGAAGAGAGATGGAGAGAGAGGGAGAGAGAAAGAGAGGAAAAAAGACAAAAATTCCAGTCTTGCGATTATAAGTGACTGAAAGACACGAATTCCATTTTTTTTTTTTTTTTTTTTTTTATTTATTAACAAACAAACAAACAAACGCCGAAAAATTACGAGCAAATGTTTACAAAATTTTTCGATTTTTGTTTGATGGTTTCATCTCTCGAGTTATTTTTATGATTCACGTGTGAATGAAATTTTTTCATCTTCTCCATTTTTTTTTTTTTTTTTTTTTTTTCAATTTTTCTCATGCGTGTTAAATGCGTCGTGATACTAATACGTGAGAAAAAGGCAATGATGGCGGCGTTCGTCGTCGTATGCTGCGTGCCACATGTTCTAAGGGTTTTTTTTTTTTTTTTTTTTGGTGGATGCTGTCGTCATACCGCAGAAAAATATAATGATGATGATGATAATTGTCGTACTCTCGCAACACGGTGTTAATTTGTATAAATTTACGAGTGAGTCCTCATTAAAATTCACATTTCATTTGATGGTAGCAGACGATTTTTTTTTTTTTAAACATGCAATTTATTAACGGACGAATCAATTTTAAAAAACTTGTTTTTGGTTTGAATTTATGACTATTAAATATATGGAAATACAACATCGAGTCTTCCTTCGTTTGTTTGTTTGTTTGTTTGTTGTTTGTTTCGTCACTTATATTAAAATTTATATTTTTTCAGCTATTTTTTTTTTTTTTTTGAAATTTATAACCGAAATGCATTTAATTAACCTAAAATGGTGGAAACGGTTTCACCTTTTTTTTTTTTTTAAACGAAAGAATTATTAATTAATATTTTTAATTAAAATTACGATAGAAAAATGTCGATCGTTCGGTTTTCCCCTCCCCACCTTCCCCTCTTTCCCCCTCCTATAAATTGTCGCTCGCGCGCGCGTAAACGTGTTTCTATCTACTACCACGACTTTTTTTTTTTTTATTAAATTTTCTATTGTGTTTCTTCTTTTCAGAATTTTCAGGTGGAACGATGTGAAAAAAAAAAAAAAAACAAAAATGTTTGTTGTTGTATCGACGTGGACGAAGACTAAAAATTACTTGGAACATGTCAAGGTGATAAAAAAATAACCGAAAACAAACACAAAAACAAACGAACGAACTCTCGAAG